CTTCTGCTACCAATTTTAAATACCAGAGGTTAAAATGCTGGTAAGGCAGGGTCCAGTTATATATTTTTCTAGTCAGAGTTTTATATTTAGTTCACAAATCACAAACACTAACATCACTGATTACTTGCTCCCCAAATTAATGCAGCCAGATCTCACTCAATAATTTCTTATTTAATGTATAGCCTTCACCTGTTCCCTAGTTCCATTATGTCTCAGATATCCCTGCTAAACCTGATTAGATCAGAACAGAAATGGCCCTAAATCAGTGCATCAGTAGGAGAACACATCAGAATAAGGGAATATGAAATAGGGAGACATCATCCTGTATCCAGAGAAAGAAGCTAACAATGTAGAGCAAAATATTTTCAATTTATAGAACTTGAAAAACCAAGTAACCAAATGAACTCTGATATCTAAGTTGTCACATATTCTTCACTTTCCAGAATAGAAATCAACCAATCTTTCCGATATTCCCAGACAGTAAAACCAGTTCAAAAAACACAGTAATACTTGGAAATGTGAACATTGTTCTTGAGCTGTATTTTGAAGCATGCAAGATGAGGTGGACCACAATGTCATTGTAAGTCTTAATGGACTGTCATGAGCTCTAATTGCTAATGTGTCTTCTATCCGGTACTTTCCTTGCACTAGTTCTGATCTACAGTTTCTACAAAGTAATCCTTAAATGATACTAGTTGAAAAGAGACTGACTAGAAATATTTCTCTAGAGCCTTTGATGACGAAGGTGACTCTCATTTCAATGAACCTTCTGTACCTGACATGCTTCCATTTAATATTCTTGTTTTGACAACGAATAAAGGCATAGCATCATATTCCAATGATGCCATAATTTTCATAAGGTTTTGGTCTCCCAATCTTGGACACAGTTAGAAATATGCAGTGTCTTGTGCACTCAAGAGTTCTAAAATGTCCAGTGCACAGAAATCAATCCAACCACACAGAATAGATACAGTAACATATCTGACAAAACTATGTGTAAAGCGAATTAGAAACTTATACGAATGAAATATGATTATTGCGTTAATATAACTTTTTACGGAAACTAAGAAGATCTAATAGCACGCAAAGAAAACAATGCAGCTATTTTTATTCTTTCATGGGTTGTAGGCATCACTGTTGGACCGCCATCTATTGCCTATTCCTCGTTGCCCTTGAGAAGGTGATGGTGAGCTACCTTCTTGAATTATTTTTGTCCAATTGGTCTAAGTAGATCCAGAATGCCATTAGGGAGCAAGTTCCATGATCTTTACGCAGTGAAGGAACAGTAATACATTTCCAAGTCAGAATGATCATTGGCTTGGAGGGGAACTTGCAAGTGAGAGTGTTTCCATTTAACATCTATCCTTGTCCTTCTTAATAGCAATGGCCAGGGGCTTACAATGTCCACCTAAGGAGCTTTGGTGAATTTCTGAAGTACATCTTATAGATGGTTTGCATTGCTGCTGTTTAGTATCAGTACTGGAAAGACTGAATGTTTGTGAATGTGGTGCCAATCAAGTGGGCTGGTTTGTCCTGGAGAGTGTCAAGTTTCTTGGGGTTTGTTGGAGCAGCACTCATCCAGGAAAGTAGGAAAATTCCATGACACTCCTGACTTATGCAGTGTAGGTGGTGGACAGGTCTGGGGTGTCAGAAGCAACATCCACCTGAGCTACATGCTCCACGGGTCTGCACATGGTGACTGGTGTCCTGACACCAATCAAAGCATCGATTTATGTTTCTGGAAGACAATTCTGCAGGTGGGCCTTGGAGGTTTGTGCTGAAGAACAAAATGATTAGTGGGGATGCTGATCAGGAGGTGAGTTACTCACTGCAGGATTTCAAGACTGTGACCTACTTTTGTTGCTATGGTATTTATATGGCTATTCCAAATCAGCTTATGACCGATGGTAACTCTCAGATGTTGAGAATGGGAGATTCAGCAAAGGTGACGGTTAGATTCTCTTATTGGAGATGGTTCTACCAGACTCTCACCACAAATCCTTCAAGCATGCTCTGCTTTTCAAGATGATCGTGGCTTATCATCCAACTCAATGGCCTCTTGCAGCTTTTCCCCCACTCCCTTTGATCCCTTTAGCCCAAAGTGCTATGTCCAACTCCTTCTTGAAATCATACAGTTATTTGGCATTAACTGCTTTTCTGGGGCAAAGAATTCCAAAGGCACACCACTTGCTGGGTGAGGGGATTTCTCACCATCTCAGGCCTTAATGGCCTGCCCCATATTCTTAGACTGTGACCCCAGTTCTGGGAACATCCTTTACATATTTGCCCTGTCTAGTCCTGTTAGAATTTTATACGTTCCTATGAATGGCCCCCTCATTCTTCTAAATTCCAGTAAATACACTCCTAACCAATCCAGTCTGTCTTCATGCATCAGTCTTACTATTCCAGGAATCAATTTGATAAACATTCGTTGCACTCCCTTCACAGCCAGAACACCCCTCCTCAGATAAGCAGACCAAAACTTCAGATAATACTCCAGGTGTTGTCTCACCAAGGCCCTGAACAACTGCAGCAAGACATACCTGCTCCTGTACTCAAATTCTCTCCCTATGAAGACCAACATATAGTTTACCTTCTTCAATGCCTGCTGCACCTGCATGTTTACTTGTAGTGATTGGTGCACAAGGACAGCAGATCTCACTGAACCTCCCTTTCCCAATCTATTACTACGCTGATAATTGCCTTCCTGCTTTTACTAAGTTCATATTTATCCATATTATACTTCATCTGTCATGCATTTGCGCACTCACTCAACTTATCCAAATCACACTGAAACATAGAAACGTAGAATATAGAAACAGGATAGGCCATTCAGCCTTTCATCCTTGTTTCGCCTTTCAGTGTGATAATGGCTGATCATCCAGTTTGGTACACTGATCCTGCTTTGTCCCTTATTGATCCCTTATTTCTAAGAACTGTATCTACATTTCTTTTTATGACCTTTGGCCTCAACAGTTTTCTGTGGTGGAAAATGTCACAGGCTCACCACTGTCTGTGTGAAGAAATTTCTCCTTATCAATGTTCTAAAAAGCCTACCCCTTTTATCCTTAGACTGTGACTCCTGGTTCTGGACTGACTGGTCATTGCGAACATTTTTCCAGCATCTACATTGTGTAACTCTTTTAAAATTTTATAGGTTTCTATGAGATCCCTTCCTCATTTTGCTAAACCCCAGTGAATATAGTTCTAACCGACCCAATGTCTCCCTGTATATCAATCCTGCTGTCCCAGGAATCATCTGGCAAAGTTTGTTTGCACTCCCTCAATAGCAGAACATCTTTCCTCAGGTAGGGAGACCAAAACTGCACATAATTCTCCAGGTGTGGTCTTACCAAGGCTCTGTACAATTACAGTAAGACATCCGTCCTGTATCCTCCTGTATTCGAATCCTCTCACTGTGAAGACCAAAATAGCATTTGCCTTCTTCATTGGCTGTTGTACCTGTATGCATGCTTTCAGCAACTGTTGTACAAGGACTCCCCCTTTCCCAATCTATCCCCATTCAGATAATAAACTGCCTTCCTGTTTTTGATACTAAAGTGATTAACATTATATTAATCCACAATATACTGCATCTACCATGCAATTACCCACTCACTCAACTTGTCCAAATTGCATTGAAGCATCTGTGCATCCTGCTCACATTATACTCTTCAACCCCCTTCATGTCACCTGCAGAGAGATATTATAATTAGTTGCTTCATCTAAATCATTAATACATATTGTGAATACTTATGATTCCTGTGTTACCCCACTAGTCACAGGCTGCCATGCAGAAAATGACCCATCTATTCTTACTCTTTATTCCAGTTTGCCAACCAGTTCTTTATGTTTGTCAGTACACTACCCCCAATCCCATGTACTTTAATTTTACATGATAATCTCTTACATGGGTAAAATAACTCCACAGAGGCTGATATGCTGCCACCAAGTCACATTTTATTTACATATGAATTTGACTCTAGTACTGTCTCTTCTAACTCAGTTAACAGAGTGGCAGTATTCTCTGACATTCCCCTTTTTATCTGTCAGCCAGGGCTCTCTGATTGGACCAGATTAACAGCCCCAATCAGGGAACTCATATTCTATCACGTCCAGCTGGCTGACCTTGTTATAATCACTACAATGAGATCTTATTGAAAGCTTTCTAAAAGTCTAAGCAGAACACATCCACCAGCTTCTCCTTATCTACTCTACTTATTACATATTTGAAGAACTTTAGTAAATTTGTCATGTATGGTTTCTCTTTTGTAAGTCCATGCTGACACTGTCCAATCCTGTAAAAGAATATACATCACGAAAGCTATAGCAACAACTTTGATTGATCGCAAACATGCTGTATGATGTTTCTTTTGCTGATGTGAGTTGAGTTGGGTGAGGGGACTGAACGAAAAAACAAACATTGCTTGCAAAACATCTGTAATTTTTCCTTGCGTCAGCAAAAGTTGCCATGGTTAAGCTTCTGGTACTTTTACTTGATAGCGAGCCTGTCCTGCATTGTTCTTTGCAGATGATCCGGAATAACAGACATGAATTTAGCTACAAGTGTTTGAAAACTGAATTGACTCTCCAACTGCAACATCAGTGCAAAGTGATTTCATTCATTCAGTAAAACATAACTAGTCTCTAAATCTGGATCATTCTTTGACATGACGTTAGGGTGAAGCAGAAGAAATTCTTTAAAGAAGGCAGTGTCACTCTGCTTTGGAGTCATGTGAAGCTTTCATTCTAGATGTACATTCACAAGTTTAGCACTGGTTATGTAGAGAAACTGCTTTGTGTTGATGTCTGTTGACAATGGACAAGGGCCATTGACACTCTGTATGCATTGTATGATTGTAAAAGCCACACTTTTTCTTATATTCAGAAATTACCGTAACCTCAGCTGCAATTTATACAGAAGAGTGAGTTAAGCATATGTTGAAAGGTTTGTCCCCAATGTTGTCCTTTATTAATATAATGCTTTCTGTTCGTTGCAGGTTTCTTAAGCACTGGGGATCAAGCTGCAAAAGGCAATTATGGATTATTGGATCAGATCCAGGCCTTGCGCTGGATTAGTGAGAACATTGCATTCTTTGGAGGGGATCCCCTACGGATTACAGTTTTTGGATCTGGAATTGGGGGCTCATGCGTCAGCCTTCTCACACTGTCTCATCATTCAGAAGGTAGGATGACGGACAAATTAATCTTTTCCACACCTGATTACTTCCTGTAATATTAGAATGTGATTTCAAAGGGAGAACTCAGTAAAACTTGGAAGGGAAGGGAATGGGAACTGATGGTTGGTGGTATTAGAAAAGACTTTTAAACAAACGTTGAGAGGTTTGGAAAAAATGAGATGCTTAAAGGAGGTGATGGCGTTAGGGTTAGCAGAGGAGTAGGGCTAATAAGCAGTGGTTTGGTAAAGCGGTTGTTGGGAAATTTAGTCAGCTTCAGAGGCTTTATAAGGAGTAAAATATCATCACCATCCACCAAGTGTCAATGCAAATATCACAAAGATATGATTGATGGTAGGAGCTTTGCTCAAGAATAGTGAATCACTCTGCAGTTATTAGAGAACAAGAAGTAAATTCAGTGTCGATGCAGTTGCTTGAAGGAACAGCATGGGCCACACAAGTCCAGGAGCTAGAACTTCAGGAGAATCAAAGAATCCAGTGAAAGGTAATTAAAGATTTCTGAAGGACAATAGGGAAGAATAGAGTCAATGGTCATGGGAAGTGAGTTTAGATCCTTCAACAGAAGCAGAGCAACTTTTAGAGCTGAAATAAGTCAGAGCTAGGTCAGCATAAAATCCTGGTGAAGGAGATGAAGACTATGCCAATAGAGACAGATGTGATAATGGATTAGAGAGTTATCTAGCAAAAGATGCAATCACTTTCAAAAGAAAAACTAAAGGTAGATAAAGCCCAGATGCTGCAGAGAACGGGATGATGACTCAGAGTGAATCTGCAACCCAACTACATGTAGTTGCCTTTGTCAAATATTTCTTATTACTTCTGGTTAATAATATTCTCTTAATCACAGATTTGCAATGAACAATTAATCCATCATCCAACTTTACAGAAGAAAGCTCCAAACCTCCAATAACTTTTACAAGTTGGAATATTTGTTGATTTTATTCCTGAAAGGGTCTGCCTCTAATTTTTAGGCTATGTGCCCTGGTTCTAGAGACTCACAACTGATTGGAAATAACTTCTCTCTATGTGGCAGATAAACCTGAACAGGTTAATTAAAAATGTTATAACAGAGCTCTGGAGCAGGTGGGACTTGAGCCCAGGTCTGCCAGTGTCACTACCACTGCACCACTAGATCCTTAATTCTAACCAGAGTGATACCTAGACTCTTAAGGTTCAATTATAAGAAGAAATAGCCAACTTGGGTTTTATTCCCTGGAATTGAGAAGGCTAAGGGGTGATTTATTTGAAGTAATCAGGATATTAATGAATAGGCAGAGTATATAGAGAGAAATAAGGGATCACTTGGTCTGGTATAAATCCCATTTGCCCCTAACATGTTGTGTAACATGTCTGAACAGGTTGATTAAATATACCTAACATTCTGTTAAACCTCCACTTCTGCATCTTCTGCACGGCCAGCAGAGAGAATTTACCGTAAATCTGTATTGATTACCTTGAATGTGAAAATATTCAGGAATTTGAAATGATTAAGTGGCAAACCAGAGTCAAAACAGCTGAGGAATACAGCAGAACAATATAACCCTGAATGCCTAGCCCTGGAAATCAAATTTGAGCCACCTCAGTCAAGGTTGCCAGCTCTCAGTTGGATATATTCCCAGAAGGTTGATGACCTGCTATTTGATTATGTGACATCCAAGGTTTGATGTGTTATTGCATTTATCCTTTAAAGGTTCACTTTGTTCAGTGTCTTTGCTTACCATAGGACTGTAAAAATATTTTGTTCATTAGCAAGGATGTGTTGGATGTCAGGAAATTTAACAGTGCCTTTGTGAATAATTAATGCTCCTCAAAAGGCACATTGTCTAATAGCTCAATGTCTCTGAGGAATCAAAGGTAGACAATTTTTTATAATCTCAAACAAAAACAGAAAATGGTGTTAACATTCCGCAGTTCATGCAGCAGTTAAAGGTGGGCTATCCTGAAACATTAACATTTCCTATTATTTGTGGATGCTATTTGGCTTACCAAGTGTTTTCCACATTTTCTGTTTTTGTTTGAGATTCCTAGAATTTGCAGCATTTGGAGACTTTATTCTTTAATTTGAGTTGACTCATGGAAACTTGGATAAACCTTAGTGATAGGCTTCTCATTGTTTGAGTTTGTCCAAGCTGTAAGCTATTTTGTCGAATCTGTGGATCCTCTTTATATCTGATGAGTTTAATGCAAGATTGACTTGGACATCCACAGAACATCTTGTCGTTGGTGCTTTTGGGAACTTCTGCGGCTGGGCCACCTCTGGCTTTCTTCTGGGCATCTTAGCTAGATGTTTCTCAAAACATGATAAGCTAAGTTTCAGTTCTTGCCTTCCCATGGGTTAGTCAATTGCAGCATTTTCCCAAAGTGGGGTGGGGGGCGGGGGGGCGGGGTTTGTGGTGTGGTCTGCAATGATGAAGATTATATAGCTTTTCCTTAAGGCCCTTTTATTATTTGTACTGACCACCTTGAGCTGAGGAGCATTATATAAAGGTCATTTAATCAATAATATCATAACACTATCCACTGATTCTGCACACCTGGGACACACATAGCATTCAGTCTGTTTCCTTCTGAGTTACACAGTCCGGATTGGTGTCCACTGAGGGACATAGTGAATGGCAGGTCATGTTCCAAAATTTTAGAAAGGTGAGGTACCTCTGGGGCCTGGAGAATGTGATGAAGATGGAAGAGAGTTTAGAATAAAGTTTGCAATTCGCTTGCATATGAAGAATATTATGAAGATTACTTGATGTAGTTCATTCAGGATGAAATAGGAGAAGCATTATAAAGCCATGGTGAAACCTATGAGCAAATACCCTTCCATTTCACCATCTATGCTAAACTCTGTTGATTCCTTCCCCAGTGTTTCTCATCACAGACATTAGAGATTAGTAGTATCTATTAGTAATATTCATAGTATTAACATCTAAACTTGTAGAAGGAAGCCAATAACAGGGCGCTGTTGGTAGAGTTGAAGATAAGTGTTTTCTTGAACTCTGGAGTGAAATAGCATACCTATTTTGGAATATTACGATTAGCTAAGTGGAAGCATTACTGAACCCACAATGCCAGAGGAAGCCACATTACCATGTGTTTCCCATCTTTCCAGTCTGCTACATGTTAGTTTGTTCTTGATGGAATAAAGAGGGACGCAATGGTACAGTGGTGGTTTCATTAGAATTGTAATGTAGAGACCAAAGTAATGCTCAGGGAACTTGGTTCAAAGCCAACCATGGCAAATTATGGAATTTAAATTTGAAAACCCAAAAATTCTGGAATTAAATGATTGTTGATTGTCTGTGCCATTGTCAATTGAGAAAACATGAGTGAGGAAACTTCTTATTGGCTCCGCCCAACCCTGGCTGACAAATCACTGCTCCTCTATGTTGAACACCACTTGGAGCAAGCACTGAGGGTGGCAGGGGAGCAGAATGTACTCTGCATGGGGAAATCTTCAATATTCATCACTGTTGTTGTAAAGGACATGGCTGTTCAACTTGGCCTGTGGCTGGTGATGAAGGAATGAACAAGAGGGAAGAAACACTTGACTTCATGTTCACTAAGCCTCAGCAGATGCATTTGCACATGACACTGTTGAGTCTAACCTATAGTCTTTTTGGCGATGAAGTTCCATCTTCACATTGAAGATACCTTCCATTGTGCTGTGTGACACCACCATTGTGCAAAATGGGATAAATTTTAAACTAGTACAAGACTGGGCATTCTCGAAATGCTGTGGGGCCATCAGCAGCATCGGAATTATACTCCAACAATCTGCAACCTTGTGGTCTGACATATCCCCTGCTCTAACATTACCATCAAGCCTGGGAATTAACCCTAGTACAATGAAGAGTGCGGGAGTGCATATCCAGAGCAACACCAGGCATATCTAAAATGAGGTATCTACTTCTTGTAACTACAGTGAAGTACTATTTCTACAGCAAACAGCATAAGCAGCAAGTGATATAGCTAAATAGTACCACAGATAGTGGACCATATCTAAGCTCTGCAATTCTGCCACATTGAGTCATCATTGGTGATGGATAGTTCTATAACTCTCTGAAGAAGAAGGTTCCTCAAATATCCTCCAAGTGATGAGAGAGCCCAACAAATCAGTGCAAAAGGTAAAGCCAAAACATTTGCATCAATCTACAACCAGAAATGCCAGGTAGATGATCCATCTTAGCTTTCTCTAGAGGTTTTTAGCATTATCACCCCATCAGTCTACTCCCAATTATCAGTAAAGTGATGGAAAGTGTCATCAACAGTGCTATCGAACAGCAATAACCTGCTTACTGATGCTCCGTGAATTTCACCAGGACCTCAGCTCCTGACCTCATTACAGACTTGCTTCAAACATGGTCAAAAAAGCTGATTTTCAGAGGTGAGACGAGAGTAACTGCTCTTGACCTTTAATTGAGGAGCTCTAGAAAAGCTAGCATTAATAGGAATCAGGAGGAAAACTGTATGCTAATTGGAGATTTAACTGACTCAAAGGAAAATGGTTATGGTTGCTGAAGGCCCACTGACTCAATTCCAGGACCTCACTACAGGAAATCCTCAGGATCTAGTCCTAGCCCTCACATCTTCATCTCCTTCATCCATGACCAAAAGTATGGATGTTTGTTCCTGATTGCATAATTTTCAGCACTATTTGTGAATCCTCAGGTATTGAAACAACCTATGTCCAAATTCACCAATACCTGTGCTAATGAGATGAGTAACATATGTGCCACACAATGCCAGACAATAACTAATAAGAGAGAATCTAACCATCACCCCTGGATTCAGTGGCACTGCCATTGCTGAATCCCTCACTATCAATATCCTGGGGTTACTGTTGATCAGAAACTGAACTGGACTAGCCATATTTTGAGATAACAAGATGTAGAGCTGGATGAACACAGCAGGCCAAGCAGCATCAGAGGAGCAGGAAAGCTGACGTTTCAGGTTGAGACCCTTCTTCAGAAATGAGGGAAGGGAAGGGGGGT